CGCTAGCGTCTTTGCTCTACACAGGTGTCGAAACATAATGGTGCTCACACAATTCAGTCTTACTTTGTAGATACCTATAAATCATGATGTGATTTCTTCTTGGCATTAGAAACTCGCTTCTGAATAACTGTCATACACACAGACACCCTCCTATTACCTAAAAAGATGAATAAAATCAGCGGTAAATAAATAATTTTGCCTCCGAAATTCTTTTGCATGGTCGACATCAGTCAGAAAACCATGGGAAACCAGTTGTGGATACTCAGCAGCTATCTCATCTTTGTTTGTGACATTTCACCAGTACACATCTATGACTCTCCTCCAACACCTCAAGGTTACGAGGTGAGTTCGTTGATGATTCAATCACTGGGACGGAATCTAGTGACTTATTATTAATTCTAACCTCTACCAAATCACGACATATAAAGCTTGACTACCATCCAGTGTTATCTGCGAGTATTTGTCCGTGATATGCGTCAATCGATCAAAGGAAATATTTATAACTCAGGGGTTCACTCTGTCCTCCTATATGCCTGGCTGTGAGTGAGACGTGACCATTGAAAGTGGAAGACATGAAGACACTGTCTAGTTGTCTTTGATCATGGGTACCTGCCTTCTATCTCGCATATTAGGTGGTATAATATGATGAGTAATATTGAGTCGGTTAAGCGTCGAGTGTTAGTTGAGGAGAGAAAATCAATCAACGAGGTTGTAGAGTTACGTCGATTTAGGGGACTTGGGCATGTGTTACGCATGCCTAGCAATCCGTCTGCTTCCTTGACGACAGACAATGTTAGGTGACATATAGGGTTGATCAGGTGGCAGTCAGACCGAAGCTTGGAATCAATTCATGAAATCTTTGACAGCAGGGGGGGTGGGTGGGTGTAAGATTGTCGTGATTTTAAGATCCATTGACTAGAGAAAATTGGTGATATGGCTCAAAAGGGTTCGCAAATGGCTGGCAGAGATGTACTCATTGTCTGTGACATTCCATGACCATGTTCTTTCGTGTTACAATTCTTTCTTCCTCACACTTCACCTTATTGTCGTCTTCGTTTGTGTGGTTCATAGAGTTTGGCAAGTTGAACTGGTGTACTTCTGTGCAACAGTTCTATCCATACTGAAACCAGTCAGTCAGTATTTGTCCTCGCACAGCCGACCTGGTGAACTGAACTTCACTGATCACGACTTGTCAGTAGAATTTCAGGCAGCTGCATCCTATAGAGTCAATCAGTCAGTCAGTGACCAGTGAGCTCTAGATTAATTTTCAAGCATTGGTTTGTGGGGGACATAATTGATTTCATCAGTCAATTAGTTTATTTCCTTAGAAAAGGGATAACTGAATATGAATAGTAGGCAATGCTCTAAGTGAAGTTATTAACATTCATTGTGTGTGTGTGTGTGTGTCTGTGTGTTTGGTAATAGGGAAATGTTTATTAGACAATTGTTTTGCTTGCTTCACATCTGTTGTTTACAACACACCTACTTTTCACTCAATCTTTTCGTCATCTTACTAGTTGTTGGAAATTCCATATTTCATTTCTTTTATCGAGTAAACGATGTCCGGAAACAAAATAGTCAGTAGCAATGTAGTAGAAATCTTTATGTATTATAATGTGAGTGTGTGTGTGTGCTTGCGTGGGTGGGTGGGTCGGTGAGTGGATGTACGTTTACGTGGGATGACGTGATGGATCACTGACAGCATTATGGTATGCATAGGTGTTAATGATGTGATGATATAATCATTTTTTGAAGGCTGATCTTTAGAAATACACACACATACATACAAAAGTTGAATCGGAGAGGGCTATTGGGGAATAGTCATCTGAATTGTTAACAACCAGTGGTGTCCATCAAGGATATCCACTTTCCCCATTCCTGTTTAACTTCATCATAGATATTCTAATGGAACTGAACTTACCGACTTAGGAATCGACTTGTTACCAGGGAATAGTCTTATGGACTTAGAATATGCAGATGACATAGTCCTGTTAGGGGAGGATGCTGACAAAATGCAGAGTCTTCTGAACACCTTGAGGAACAACAATCTTCGTATGTTTGGCATGCGATTCGTCCCTGTAAAATGTAAGATGCTGCTACAGGACTGGACTACGTCTATCCCTAGCTTACTGATAGGGAGTGAAGTGATAGAACATGTTGACCACTTCACCTATTTGGGAAGTTGTATCAGCACCAACGGATTGATTGGTGACGAAATCTCAGCACGGATCCAAAAAGCTCGGGCTGCTTTCGCTAACTTACACCATCTCTGGCGTAGGCGTGACATCCGACTATCAACCAAGGGACGTGTGTACTGCTCAGCAGTTCGCTCCGTCCTTCTCTATGGCTCTGAAACATGGCCAATACGAGTTGAAGACATGAAAAAGTTGACTGTTTTTGATCATAGATGTCTACGATCTCTTTCTCACGTTAGGTGGCATAATAAGGTAAGTAATGTTGACGTTAGGCGTAGAGTGTTGGGCAAGGAGGGAAAATCAATCAACGAGGCTATAAAGTTACATAGATTGAGATGGCCAGGTCACGTGCTGCGCATGCCTAACCATCGTCTCCCCCGACGGGCATTACTAGCTGATATAGGTGCAGGTTGGAAAAGAGTAAGCGGTGGCCAAACAAAAACATGGCATCAATCCATGAAATCCTTGACAGTTAAACTGAGTCAGGTAGGGAGATGCAGACTTCGGGGTTGGGGCCCTCGGGACTCTAAGAATCAATGACTGGAGACAATAGGTGACATGGCTCAAAATCGTTGTCAATGGCTTACGCAGATGTATTCAGTCTCTGTGATCTTTCATATTCCTTTCTACCATTACTCATTCTGTTTCACTCTTATGCTTGTCAAAACTCGATTGATTCTCTTCACTGATTTTCTTGTCTACCTTTGTGTGCTATTTGGAACGTGGCAACTCGAACTGCTGCACTTCGGTGCCAAGTTCTATGTTGAATCCAGACAGACAGACAGAAATCGGAGAGAATTTATTTTCCTTACAAGTGTTTAGTGTGCTTTTTGATTCTGTTCTGTTAAGTGGCTGTCTGATGTTTTAATGTTAATGCCTAAATCTTAGAGTTTTCGAACACTACATTATTCTACTTCTTGTAAGGATTTTGTTCATTCACAGTTGTTCGTCGTATTCTCTGCTGTCTATATAATATCATTTGTGATAAGCGAATTAGTTATAAATGCATGCATCATCGTCGGTGGAACGATGTCATGAGGTACACGTCATTCACCAGAGGTGTTTGTATTCTGCCTCTATCATCTTGTTTGGTAGGTGTCAGGATGCTGATAAAATGCAGAGTTTCCTGAACAGCACACACCTTGAGCTGAAATCTTCAAATGTTGGACATGCGATTTGCTCCAATCATCAAATGTAAGGTGATGGATGCTACAGGACTGGGCTACATCGACTTCTAGCTTTAAGACACTGAGTGAAATGGTAGAGAATTCTGATCGTTTCACTTATTTAGGAATTTGCATCAGCCAACGCCAGCGGGTTGATCGCTGACGAAATCTCAGCACAGATACAAAAGGCTCGTTCCGTATATGCCAGTCATTATCGTCTCTGACGGCTATCGACCAAAGGGCGTATGTACTGCTCAACAGTCCACTGCGTCCTCCTTTATGGCTGTGAGATATGATGTGACCATGGAGAGTGGGAGACATGAAAAGCCTGGCTAGCTGTCTGCGTTCTATCTCCCGTGTTAGGTTGTATAGTATATTAGGGTGAGTAATTAATATTGAGTTGGTCAGGCGTCGAATGCTACTGTGTAAAGAGTGGGAATCAATAGACGAGGCTGTGAAGTTAAATCGACTGAGATGGTTAGGACATGTGTTACACATGCCTGGCTTAGTCGTCGCCTTCCTCGACGACAGGTAATGTTAGCTGACATGGGGTCAGGTTTGAAAAGAGCTGGTGGCTGGTGGTCAAACCAAAACATTGCTTCATCAGTCACTGAAATCCACAACAGTTATTTTAAGCCAGCCAGCCAAGTAGAGGGGGTGTAAACTTAGTGACTGGTTGGGGTCCTCGGGACGGTAAAAACCAATGGCTGGAAACAATCGGTGATATTGCTCAAAATCGGTATCAGTGAATGCGCAGATGCATCCACTCATTATGACTAATAATATCCAATAAAACTGTATTGTTCTTCGATATTACTATTCTTTTTCCCTCATATCCCTGTTTATTCTCTCTGTTTTGCATTTGTTTGTACTTTCTTCTTTTTTGGCTTTGTGTCCTAAGTGAAGTGTGGCGACTTGAACTGGTGCACATCGGTGCAAAGTTCTAACTATGTTGAAACCAGTCAGTTAGTCATCTCTTGCGTAGTTGTGATATCCGAGTGGTTATCGATCAAAGGGAGTGTGTGCTGCTCAGCAGTTCTCTGTGTCCTCCTTTATAGGCTTGAGACATAAGGAAGACATGAAAATGCTAGCTATCTGTCTTTAATCGTAGGTGTCTGTGTTCTGTCTACCATGTTAGAAGGCATGACTGAGTGACTAATATTCAAGTTATACATCGAGTGTCAGGTAAGGGGGCAAAGTGAGTCAATGAGGTTGTTCAGACGAGTCGATTAGGATGGCTGGGAGATGTGTGTTACACATGTAGTTGACACATCGAGTTGACAAAGAATTAGTTTGGGTGGGGGGTGAAAAACTAAAACGTGGGATCAACACTATGGAGTATTGAATTGTCGATTTCAGTCATGTAAGGAGGCTATATATATATATGTATATATATATATATATATATATATATATTTGTATGGCTGGGTTGGTTGTTGAGACGCTGAGATCGGGAATTATTGATTGAGATGACTTAAAATCATTCATGCTGGTGTGGATACATTGAGGCTGGGGATCTTCTAATGTCAAATCTTTTCTGCATTTAGTTATTCTCTATCATTATGTAATCATTTGACAGATATTGTTACATATACCTTGATGGTTTTTCTTTTCTTCCTTTCTGTTTTCTTTTTTCTAGGTTAGAGCATTTTTTGTTTCGAGTGACGAAAAAGTTCATCTGACTGTGGAAGCCTCAATGAATAAGTCATCACAACAGGTAAGTCCGGGATGGATTCAGTGAATTGGGAAATTTAGCTGATGTATGTGTGTGTGTATACAAGGTAGCTGGTGAATTCCTATCTTTTTCCAAAGTATTTTTAAGTACATTGTTCTCTCCCTTACACTAATAATTATTTCATCCCATTACGTTCCGATTGGACACATAGGACTGTAAGCCTTGCGTTTAGAAGTCTCAGTCAATAGTGGATAGGGTTGCCACACTCGCACCCGAACTTTCCTCTTTACTAGACTTACAGGCGAGGTTTAGGCGTTGTTGTCGGTCGGGTATGAAACCGCTGACCTCTGACGTGGCTGGCGCGATCATTTTAGCATTGAATCGCCTACACGTTCTGTTGCTTAGGTACAACTAATATGATATGTCACTATAGTCCTTATTACTGATATTAGTAGTGTAATGACAGAAGACAAGAGCCAGGCAACAGATCGTTTGATGAGAAAATCAAGAGATATTTATAGATTTTTATGTACAGTATTATTAGCGTTGTTGTTAGCGAAGAAGTAACCTCTTCTGATTGGTTGTTTTCCTGCTGAAGGTTATCCTGCACTGCTTGTGACTGACCGTTTCTCAGAAAGTCAAGCCATATATCTGCGAATCGTATTTGCACAGATTAAGTGTGCTTTGTGATTGGTTGGTGAGTTCCTCAAGTTTGGGCTTTGTTCTTGCTTTCTCTCATGACCTCGATTCAGGACGTGAACGTTGACGTGAATTGTTGTTTACAATTTCGGCTCACAGACAGCTCTCACCGCAGTATTAACCTATCATCCAGTTGTTAACCAAGCTCCAAGGAGAAAGGCTCATCACAGTGGTGTGGTTGGTTTTGATGTTGAATGGTTGATGACATTTTTGAGCAAGTTGTATTTCTAGATTTTTGTGCTTATTGACACGTAGTATCATCACACAATGTTAGATGCAAACTGGATGAAGTTTACTCTGAAGAGGACTGAAACACTGATGTTCTGATTTCATGTCAGTATCTATTCTGAATTACATTATCTTGTTACTGCCAGGGTTTCCGCTTGGACTTCGCACTGTTCTCTGCAATCTTTCTTTTAGCTATCTCTCCGATTGCCCATAAACTTTCATTTCCTCTATCACTCTCACAAACGGAACTCATCTTTTTCCCATTCGAATCCCATCCGGAGAGCAGCTTTGTTCTTCTCCTGTCCTCACTTCAAACCCTTCGCAGAGCTTTCCGTTGTGCATCATTTGGTATGTGTCATCAGCATATAACCGTTGATTTACGTAGTGTTGAATCAGTTGCCAAATTACTTCGTGGTCAATGTCATCGCTGGCCTTTTCAAAGTTGATAGAATTGAGGTAGACATTTGATTGCTATTCTATCCTCAGTTCGATGATGACGCGTAGTGTTGGGATTTGGTCAGTACATGATTTTTTTTTCCTTCACGTTCCCCAGTGGAACATAGGGCTTCAAGCTAGTGGCTTGAAGTTTCTGCAGCAGTGTTTATTTTACAGGATGGGGTTGCTAGCCTCATGCCCAACCTTTCCTCTTCAGCAGGATTATTTCTGGCTTAGCGAGGTAAAGGAGTGCGTCGGTGGCCGGGGATCGAACCCCGGACCATGTGCATTGTTGCCGTGCGTCCTAACCGCTATGCCACCGACGCAAGCACATGATTGGCTTTTCCTGAATCAATCTCTCCAGGATTGAACATGGGGCGTTTTGGTTACAAGACAACTTGGCTGACTATTCAACCACTGGGAGGGAATCTGATGGCCCATGAATTCTAACCTTTTGAAATAATAAAGAAGATTTGTAGCTCAGGTAGATGATTTGCAATTAGTAGTGTTCTCGGAGGAGCTGGTTGGTTTAGTTGCAGAGCTTTCGTCGTTCCCCCTTCTGGGCAACATACCCTTTCAGTGCAATTTTTAACATAAACTGAACTGATTTAAATTTCTTCATGAGTGATGGAATTGCGTCTCCCGGTAACCATCTTTACATATGTATTGACTTGGATTTTAAACTTACTCGTCACGTGATTTATTTCTTATTAGTTGGTATATCCGGTCTATATTAACGTGTTTGTTAATTGCATATTCGTTTGAGTACCAGGCTTCTAGGAATTCCCTGGCACTTCTGGTGTTTTTTCTGTCAAAATTTTGACATTATTCCAATCAAACTGATGTCCATAATTATCTACATGTATTGATATGAAACTGGAATACATAGCATGCCTTTTTACAGCTAATTTGTGTTCTTGTATTCGGATTCGAAGGGGCCGCCCAAACCAAACGATCCAACAGAAAAAGAAGATAAAATTAATATCATTTACAAAATAAATTGTACGAACTGTGACAGACATTACATCGGCCATTGTGGGCGTAAAAAGTAAATCATGTGACGAGAAAGTTTAAAATCCAAGTCAATAGAAAATGATCAATACATATGTAAAGATGGTTACCAGGAGACGCAATTCTACCATTCATAGAAAATTTATATCAGTTCAAGTGTTGGTTTGTAGGGATTTGATTGGTTACAGGATTTCATCATGAGCTGACATTGGTTAGAGAACCATTAGAAAACCTGGCAGTACTGAACAGCCAGCTGTTTCGTCAGCCTAGTTTGGGACTCTTCAGCAGTGCGCACCCACCGGAAGGGTTCGAACCCAGGACCTTCTGGTTACAAGGCTAGCGAGCGCGTAGATCATTAAGCCACTGAGACCCGATCCAATGGCCGATGAATTCTAACTTCTGCCAATTCGTGACATAGTGTGACCACTAGCCAATGTCTTCGGCGAGTACTTGTCCTCACACCCGACCCTGCTGCACCCTGCTGGTCACGACTTCTCATTAGAATCCCTATCTGAATAGGGCAAGTCGCTAGTGGGCATCTCACTTTATGCTAAAGTTTGCCTGAAGATGTTGTCAAGAAGGTGGACGACGAATGATTCGCAATTAAACCAAGTAGCTCAGAGAACACTACTAATAGCAAATTCTAACCTTTACTAATTAGCTATAAAACAGCGTCACTGCCAGCCAATATATCATCGGCAAGTATTTGTCCTTTTGTCCAGTTTGGTGGAACTCCCTTCCCCCTTGGTTTGTGATCACGACTTCCAGATAACTTCATATTGTAGAATCAGTCACCAGTGAGCACTAGACTCGGAATTATAAGCCAATAACACTCCGAATTCCACCTAATTTAAACTAGACGGTATGGTAGTAAGTATCACTCATCGTATAATAAATGGACAATTTTCTTCCGGGTCTTATCTAACTAACAAGATAAGATTATGTTGGACTAATAAGAAGACTCTAGAAGATCTGGATTTCGGGCACGGATGATTTCTGTTTAACGTCGCACAAACTCGAAGACCTACAGGCGAAAAGCAACAAACTGGCCGGAAAAGCAGGAAGTGAAGACAGGACTGCAGGTGAACATAAAAAAAACGGAGGTGATGAAGATAACCAACCAACCAACAGCAACAACTACAACCAGTGCCAATCACCATCAACGGGAGAGATTTAACAGAGGTTACTTCCCTCACTTATCCCAGAAGCATCGTTTCAACTACAGGCAGTTGGAACGGATGAACATGTCAAAGCAGGCCAGAATCGGAAAGGCAAGATACGCCTTCATCAATCTGAAACCGGTTTAGAAATCTTCTGCACTGCACTCAGTCAGCATAAAGAACAAGATTCGGATTCTATTCAACACAAATGTCAAGTCAGTCAGTTCTTCTCTGTAGGTCAGAAACTTGCATTGCGCGTCACGAAAATGCATTTCCAAGGAGTAACAAACTTATCAACAACTGCCCACTTCACTGCTCCATAATGAAGATCAAATGGCCTGCCGGACGGCCAGAAGTAATTATTATTGTATTGTTCCCTTGGGTTCCTAGTGGAACTTAGGGCTTCAACTACACGTCTCCACTTGCTCCTCTCTTCTGCTATACTTTTCACCCCTATCCATGTTAGTCCATACTGTTTCCACTCTTCTTCACACGATCTCCTCCATCTCACCCTTGCACTGACGTCCCACTCGCCGCTTCCCTTTCGGGTTCCACTGGAGCACTGGCCTGACGCGTGATGTCACCCAGCGGCCTCCTCAGCGAGTGTCCAATCCATCTCCACTTCCTCCTGCATATTTGTTGAGCGATTGGTTCTTGTTTTGTTTGTTCCCATAGTTTCATGTTGGTGATTCTTTCCGGTGGCCACCTGATCTTCAGTAAAGAACGAAGACAGCTGTTGATAAAAGTCTGCAACAGGCTGTTGGAAATATTCTTTGTGACCCGCCAAGTTTCTGATCCGTATATAAGAACTGACTGACTTGACGTTTGTATTGAAAATCCGAATTTTGTTGTTGATGCAGGCTGAGTGACGAAGACTTCCAGATTGGTTTCAGGTTGATGAATGTGTTTCTCGCCTTCCCGATTCTCAATTTGACATCCTCGTCCGTTCCTCCTGTAGTTGAGACAATGCTCCCTAGATAAGTGGAAGAAGTGACCTCTTTCAAATCTCTCCCGTTGATGGTGATTGGCGCTGGATGTTGCTGCTGTTGTTGTTGGTTGGAATGAGCAAAGAACTCTACCTGGGAACAAACCAACCATCCAAAAACCTATTCATCAATAATTATGTAGGAAAAAATGGAGATGGATGGATTGGGCATACGTTGAGGAGGCCATCGAATGACATCGCGCGCAATGCAGGCTATTGTTCGAGTGGAATCCCACATAGGAAGCGACGAATGGGTCGTCAGTGTGAGGTTTATATGGAAGAGATTGTGTGGGGAGGAGGAGAAGTAGATGAGAGGTTATTGACAATTGTGGAGCTAGTCAGCCTACCGAAGAGGACAGCAGAAAATATAAGAAAGTGTAGATGTATTGTTGAAGTCGTATGTTCTACTCTGAACACAAGGGAATAATTATAGCTAACTGGCTAATTGACTAGCCTTCGTTCCACCTATGAGATTGTGTTTCCCTAATTAATTTTTCAAAAAGAAGGAAAGGCAGCTGTGTTCA